CCCAAACCCCGGTGCCCGGTGAAACGATGGAGACAGTGGGGTTTTAGTTGGTATGCTCCTGCTTATCGGGAGAGAGTCCAACATAACCTCCACGCCTTTCCCCTCTTAGGGCGCGGGGGTATGCGTAAAGCATTTCCCCACTATAAAAAAAAGCTTTATAATGATGAAAGAATTTTTGAAATCAATCCAGTAGTTTTTTAGTTATTTCAATACCTACAAAAATCCAAAAATAAAAATCTTTTTGACCGAATTCCCAAAAGTAGGAGATACTCAATTCGTCTGTATGTTTTTTTTTATTTGTGTTACGGCATAACTCCGCCGCTAGTGGACAGATTTTGAAAATCCTTTTTTTTATCCGAAAGGTAATGCTTGCAGGTGAGTCCCATTTTTTTGTTAAACGAAATAATTTCTTGAAAATAGTAAACCTCCCTTATTGTAGCTGTTATGTCTATATTGTACAATTATTATTACTTTGAAGTCGGTGTCAGTCAATGTAGATTCATTACATAAACGTTACTATACTTTCAATTGTCAATTGTTATAGTAAAAATGTAAAAACCCTTCCGTAGAAATATCACTGCATACCTTGGCTGACACCGACATCAAGGTAATAATAATTGTACAATATAGACATAACAGCTAAAATAAGGGAGGTTTACTATTTTCAAGGAATTATTTCGTTATTTTTAGTGTACTGTTTCTTTTTTTTTTTGAGAAGATTTTGTTTTTAGTGTATTTTTTATAACAAATGTATAGATATGTGGATATCCATTGTAACTAATAGTATTAAGTTTTGAAATTGAAAAAACCGTTCTTTTATCCGTTGAACTGTTCAGTTTATAACCTACACACGCATTTAACTGATTGGCTTTTCAGTTAAAACTGTCACAACTGAGCGTATGTAGTGAGGGAATGTTACTCGCACGGATCAACTTTAAATTCAGAAATAATATTATAGTTTGTCTAAGGGTGAGTTGCACCATATCGCCGGTTAGCGTTAAAGTTAAAATTATTTGTAACGGTAATATTTGGAATAACCTTAAAATTTGCTAAGGGTAATAAGATAGATTAGTTTGATAAATGGTGCATATGAAGTATCGAATTCAATTTGTATGAAGGCAAATGCCGTGCTTAATAGACAGGTATCGTAGTGAAATAAACACGCAGCGAACAATTATGAAGTATCGATATTCGGTATAAATAATTGTCGAACTCAACTAAAATTATTATTTTCTTATTAACTAATTATATTACAATTGTAGTGTGTATTATAGTGTAGAAAATGTAGCGATGACAGAAATAATAGCGAAATTCAATTCGATTACGTACGGCTGTAGTAGTAATAAACATTTATTTACTCTCATTATTTGTTATGGTCATTATTAATTTGAGAAAACAGTGTTTTTTTTTAATTCATAAGTTATAACTATAAATACATCAATTCCAACATCAATAAGAATAAAAATCGAAAATCGATAAGATTCATGACTGATTTTACACAACCCATCCCTACTAAATTTGAAGTAAATTGTCAAACTAATCTAAATTATTTAGACACACTATAATATGATGTAATATCTACTTTTTTAAAACAAAACGAAAACAACTTGATTATAAAAAAGACAAAGGTCAGATTAGATAACTCGTGGTGAACTTCGCGGGTTTACACTAACGTTGCTTACAGAGAAATTAATGCCATCTCTATCACTCTGTGTAAAAAAATTGAGATAGCAATAAGTTTTTGGATACGTGCATATGCAATAGAAACCCGAGGTTAGCAATTTGAAGACATGAGTCCTAAAAATTTCGCGGGAAAAACATAAAATTTGACAAGTAAATATTATAAATTGGCATTATATAAAAATAACTATTTTCGGATCTTGTGTTTATTTTTTTGTCTGCCAGATTCTCAAATCAATTATTGGAATGTTTCCAAACCTACGTTTCGTTTTTTTGCAAGTACCGTCAAATCTATATGATTTATTCTCTAAATGAAAGACAATATGTTTTTTTCGAAAATCTTATAGAATAAAACTGTAATTTTAACCAAATCTCATAATAGTTACTAAATCTACAAAAATAATAGTTAAAATTATTATTTTTTTTTATACCTACTTACAGCCAACATTTTCAAAAATCGTGTTAAAAACATTGTTTACGCTAATCATATATCTTACTAATATTATAAATGCGAAAGTTTAGATGGATGGACGTTTGTTAGAATTTGTAGCCTAAACTGCTGAACGGATTTCGATGAAATTTGGTACAGATGTAGAGGATAGTCTGGAAGAACACATAGGGTACCCACTTTTTTTTTTAATTCCACGCGGACAGTGTCGCGGGCTAAAGCTAGTTTTTAATTATTTATATTTATAATGTTAATTTATGTTTCAATTCATATTTCAATGTAGTTAACTACTGTTATATTATATTTTCCTTATTCATAGAATTCGTCAATAACAGTCGTTATTAAAATTTTATTTTCCTATAACCAAATAACCTCATTATTTTGTACATAACAAATGTTAAAATATGTCACATATGAAAAGTTCAAAATTATTTATAAAAAGAAACATATTTCTTTTTTCTTGTAAAGATAATTATTGAATAAATTATTTATGAAAAACAAATCAATTTCAACTTTTCATAGCACTTTAGTTGATATAAAAATGTAACCGGTTACTTAACAGCGTTGTTGCATAACCTAAATCTAGATTTTTGTCTTTAACATCTAAAATTAAAAAAAATAACAATAAAAAAACAAGTTAAAAATATCAAAGGTAGGTAAAAAAATTAATTACTCACCACGAAAAAAATAATCTTGATTTACAAATAAATATTACAAATTAACAAACGCACTGGCCACTTATACACATTTAATAAAAATCGTACTGGCGACTTACAAAATTATCTTTTTTAAAATTATGTAACAGGCCGGTCAGTTGGCGCGCTCGCTTGTACTGCGACCGAATGTACGATCGCACGCCGCCACTTTCGGTACACTAGCCAAATAAAATTTCAATTTACCTACTACATTACGTATTTCGTGGGCGTGGTGCAAAAACAAATATGTGACGCGCTTCTCATCTAACCACAATAAGCTAAAAAAACACACATAAATCAACCTAAACATTTGATGATCACTCAATAAACTTAAAAAAAAATAAAAATGAATGTTACATTTGGCGCCTAAAATAATTTTTCGCACAGCTTTTATCTAGTTAGCAAAATAGATAACAGAAATTCGTCCGTGATTTATATCGCTTTTATCGATTTTTAGTATTTATCTTAAAAGGGTTTTGGCATATGTAGCGTTCTAACTTTGAAAAAAAACTCGACGACCTTAAGCTAGGGTTGTGAAAATATTAAAAAAAACCTTGTGTTACATTTTGTATTTATTTCTTAATACTTAAGGTAAGAAAAATGATATGTAATGTAACTTCTTTTGTGGTTTAATATAACCGCAATAGCAAGGAGGTACATGGTACTCGTTACGCAAACATTCTCATAAAAAAAAATATTTGTATTTTGAATCTAGAACACAGCGAAGTTTCTGTTATGGGTCTTTCTGTATACGGGACGTAAAAGACCCCGCAGTAGACGTGTTTAGTGGATTCTTGTTTATAAAATCGTTTTAAATGTCAAAGTCTCTTGAATAAAACGTTATAACTATATTTCATAACGTAAGACAGAAGAAGTTCAGACATAAGAAAAAATACATAATTAAAAATATTGATAACCTCAGTAATGTTTTGGAAGTTGGATAATATTGTTTTTAAATTTTTTATCTAATTGTGACCTGCCAGTGAGTTGAAACAAATATCTTTTTTATCTTGCGAATTCTTGAAAGCAAACTTAGTTAATTGTAAAAATGTTCTGCTATATCTTTTTCGTTATTTTGTTACAGATTTTTAGCAAATGACCTTTGTGGATCGGAATACCGACCGCCATCTATAAATAATCCACGGCCAAACTTGATCTGCTCAAATTCTAAATTGTTTACGTTTACGATTTGCAAAAATTTATCATGCGATAACATTTTCACAAATGTTCGTCAACTTGGTAGCTTAAAAATGGGTTAATATAACGAGGGCATCAAGGTGGAATGGAAAAGACATGTTGCCAGGATGTCAAAATTGCCTATGGCTACAAATCTCTCGTATCACTATTTGTAATCTTGTATCACAATCGCCACTTACTCTAATCGTATTTTTGTTGATAAAAGTTATTTTTAACACACATTGAGGTTAGATTTATTCAGACGATAAATTTTTGGTTTGATTACTTCGTGGAGGTGAGGGTGATCTAGTATGCAATTTTCCTCAATATAAAATTTTTCAATGTAAGCTGTATCGTGTCTTGTACGTTATATGTTTAAATTAAATGAGGAAACCAGGTTATAATTTACTTAATGGAGTAATGATTAAAATGCTTACAAATCTTATAAACTCCATAAGCTATACAGAATTTATTAAAGTTAAATATTTCGATAACGCCTGAAATTTTTGTCATAGCAATGATGTAAAAAGTTGATGCGCTATTAAAGGGAAGTGCAGCATAATTAAATATAGCTTTTACTTATTAAAGAGACGAACAAGATATTATTCTAATAATTGATATTTTAGACAAACATTAAGTAACATTAAAATAGTATAAAAGTTTTATTTCACAGATTAAAAAAAATACTCTGTGGTTTCCTCTTTGCTGTCAGAATGACAATGTCACTGTCAGTGTGAACGTCATTTTCACATGATAACAACACGTGTGTTTAAATGCCAATCCGAATTTTAATAAATTATCGTTTAATGTGGAAAAAACGCACAAAATGAATCAAAAGAAAGTTTTACAGAAACCTTCCCTATCATATACCAGTCACCCTGACTATCGAAAACCTCCAAAGATAGCAAATCCGGTAAGTTCATTACTTTTTTTAAATGTAATAGTAGCAATTTAAACATTTATATTAATTAAAAATTGTTTTATGTTTCATTTTACAGTATCTACAATGTCTCGGAACACCGCACATAGATTCATTCAATTATATGTTACAAGAAGGTTTAAAGGCAGCGCTCGCGGACTTAATACCTGCTGAGTTTGAACTCCCGACTGGTGAAAAGATAAAAATAACAATCGACGAGGCTGCATTTGCTAAACCAAGCGTTCCAATGGACGTAGTCGGTGTTAAAACACAAAGAGTACTTCCTACAGAATGCCGACAAAGGGCTGCCACATATAAGGGTGATTTTAAAATAAGAATGACTTTTAATGTTGATAGTAAATCAATAACTATCGATAGATCGCTAGGAAGTCTACCTATTATGTTAAAGGTAAGAATTAATATAAATTACAGTATTTTACACATAAGAAATGAAAAAAAAAACTAGTAATATGTAGTCTATGTTATTCAGTTAGAATATAGCTTTCTAATGGAAAATTATTTTGAAATCTGTCCGGTAGTTTTGGAGTTTAATTATTAAATAATATGTATCATACTTCCTTGAAATAAAACTATTATTAAGACAATAATATTTTTTCAGTCAAAAATCTGCTATTTATCGGACATGTCTCCTGAAGAACTGGTGCAGCATAATGAGCATGCTGATGAGTGGGGAGGATATTTTGTTATTAAGGTAAATTATTTTACTTACTAACTTTAGCCTGTTATTTGGTACACATGGAATTCAAAAAGAAGTCTACACAGGCTTCTTTCTTTTGTTTTGAGAACACATGTTCTTCTTTCTTTGAGAACATATATTCTTCTTTTCTTTTAAGGATATGTGTTCTCACATACTTTCTGTACATGTATGCCGAATTTCATTAATTCAGTAGTTTATGTACTGTTAAACATACAATCATCAAATATTTTGCATTAATAATATTAGTAAGATGTATAACTCCATGTTAGTTTTTCGTCTTTCGCCCGCGACTCCGTTCGCGTTGAATCATAAAAAAAAGTGAGTGAGTAGCCTGCATGTCTTCCAGAATAAAGTCTATATCTATGCCAAATTTCAACTAAATCTGTTCAGCCATTTGCTACAAACTCTAACAACTATTCATCTAAATTTTCGCATTTATAATATTAGTATGGTATTTTCTATTTCCAGGGCCATGAGAGGTTAGCACGTATGTTGTTGGTAACGCGACGTAATTACCCAGTTGCCATCAAGCGTTCAGGTTGGAGGATGAGGGGGAATCTGTTCTCAGATTACGGTGTCCTAGTGAGGTGTGTTACTGCGGATCAGACAAGCACAGTTAGTATTATTTAAAATTAGACTTTTTAATGCCTTAGAGTTAGTTTTGTTATGTTTATTTTTTATTTTAATTTAATTAAACTCAACCTTTTTGTATATATTGATATATTTATTATAAGGCTTTTAATGTTTTATTTAAATTACTTTTGGTATATATCTTGCTGGCATACTTGTATACAAGCTACTGGCATGTATAAAGAATTGGCAAGAAAGTAGCTTGTTCCATTTTGATTTTATGACTGACTTAAACAAGTTACTGTTTTATTTAACTGTTATGTTCATAAGTTCCAGCATATGAAGGCCTAATTTTCTGTTTTCTTTCCCACCATCTGTACTATTATAATAAAACGTAAACACACACTTCTTTGTTGCCTAAGATGTCAGCAATCACAGCATATTTTTGAATAACTCTTTTTTTTTAATAAAAGCCTTACACTTACGTCACACTTTAGGCTATATGTTTTAACGCCATTAAACTTAGGTGTAAATATTTTAGATAAAAACTCTAATGTGGGAAAGAGACCATAAGTTGCTACCAACATCAAGAAAGCAAAATTGCCATGCTTTGTCATCATGTTATGTCTGTCATTTTGACATTTGCAATTAAATTTGACAAATGTAATCAATCAAACAATTTTCATAATTTCGTGCGAAAGTCGCACGGGAACAGCTAAGTGGATGATAGTGGAGGAGATGCATAGGAAGGGGAAATATCCTCTATATGTGAGTCTCTGTTGAATAAGGGTAGGCAACATCTGCAATTGCGGATGTCTATGGGCAGCAATCGTTTCACTTTTCGTCGAATTCAGGTGGCCGCTCATTTGCCACTTTGTAATAAAAACTAGCTGTTCCCATGCGGCTTCATCCGCATGAAATTGTGAAAATTTTATTTTATTGTTTAGATGTGTCTAATTATCAACAGCAAATGTCAAATTGACATGACATGATAAACCTTGACAGTCTTGCTTCCTTGATGTTGGCAGCAACTTATGGTCTCTTTCCCACATTAGAGTTTGTATCCAAAACATTTTCCCCCTAAATTAAATGGCGTGAAAATATATAGCCTAATGCGTGACATAAGTGTAGGGCTTTTTATTAAAAAAAGAGTTATTCAAAAATATGCTGTAATTGCTGACATCTTAGCCAACAAAGAAGTGTGTGTTTGCGCTTTATTTTAATAGTATAGATAAATGCCAGTGACTGGTATGCTAGCCAATATGTTATTTTTTTGCCATGTGTATTTTGTGTCCTAATATTTTAAATGTCTCTCTTTCAGAATAATGTATTACATTTCCTACAAAATGGCACATGCAAGTTAATGTTTTCTCATAGAAAGATGATGTATTACGCACCAGTGTTGCTTATTATGAAATGTTTGGTGGATTTCCCCGATCACTATATTTATAGATTGTTATTACATGGGAAGAAAGATGATCTATATTATGTCAAGTAAGTATAAATTTGCCTTAATTTTGTTAGGGCCAGTCCCATCAAATTGTAAATTGTCTGATAACAATTCAGTGTCTAAAATATAATTGAAATATCTGATTTTATTCGGTTATCCGACAGTGATGTCATTTTTAAGCTATCTGAACCTCTATCAGCCAGTCGTGGGACATGCTCTTAGTAATACAAATGCAAGTTTAGATGGATGGATGTTTGTTAGAAATTATCTCTGAAACCTCTAAACAGATTTAGATGAAATTTGTCATAGATGTAGAACTTATAGGGTTTTTTAACAAAGCAAGGACGAAGTCGCGGTCGAAAGTTAGTTTAAACATAACATTAAAATAAGTAAATTACATTTTTTTTTTCAATAAAATGTCTTATTTAATTATGTAATATCTATATATTAGTTATATTAGTAAGTTAATAAGGATTTAAAATAAAATAAAAAAACTCTATGTCACTGATAAAGTACCATTTTAATGGTGAATTTTTTTTAAATTGGCCTATTCAGTTGTAAGTTATTTCAATACATAGAAAAATACAAATGTCTCTTAATAATATTACTATAGACTAGCTGTTACTCGCGACGTCGTCTGTGTCAAATTACAAAATAGTAAAAAGATATAACTATTGGCCTATGTTACAGATAAAATACCTTTCTAACAGTGAAAGTATTTTAAAAATCGGCCCAGTTATTGACTTATTTCAATACATATAAAAACACCAATATTCCCTCTTTATAATCTTACTTCTTACTAATATTATAAATGCGAAAGTTTAGATGGATGGATGTTTGTTAGAGTTTGTAGCCTAAACGGTTGAACAGATCTCAATGAAATTTGGCACAGTTTTAGAGCATAGTCTGGAAGAACACATAGGCTACTTTTTATCCCGGGAATAGTTACAGTTCCCGTGGAAAATATAAATTTAGTTTTTTAATGTTTACTCTATCATTCTGCAACGGTTCAACATATCTTATTGAAATTTAGCACAGATATAAAACAAAGTCTTGAGTACACATGGGATAAGCTTCATGCCCGAGAAATGTCCGGTTCCCGAGGGATACGTAGCTTTTTGTAATTTATGTAGTTTGTATGTTTTCTAATACCACGCTGACGAAGTCGCGGGCAACAGCTCGTATTAGTATAGATGTATACTTTACTATAGCTGTTATTTTTTATCCTTTTCTCTTTCAAATTCCTATAAGAAAATTTAAATTTAATTCAGTAACATTATTTTATATTTTCTACCATATAAAAGTAATTATTAATTACAGTTGTATGCAAAACATACTCCGTGAGCTACACGAAGAAGGTCTCCATAACTCGGAGGAATGTAGAGCATATCTCGGGAAGATGTTCAGACCAAAACTCTCCGAGTTACCACCTTGGTCCACTGATATGGAGGCTGCAGATTTTCTACTTAAAAGATGTGTTTTAATACACCTAAAAGATTATAAAAGTAAATTTTACGCTTTAGTATATATGATACAGAAGTTATATGATGTTGTACAGAATAAGTGTAAGGTAAGTTGTAATTAATCTTACTTGATTTTAAATAAATAAATAAATAAACTTATGTTAATCTATATGTTTCTTGTATTCGAATTTATGGAAATGATAAATTATAAAACTGTCTAAACCTTTATAAAGCTGTGATCATAGAGTTATAAATATAGACATGTTTGTGTCTTCAATTTAAATATTGAAATTTTAGAAAATAGTCAATAAATGACTTTATCAGTGACATGTGTAAATATAATTTGTCATTTTCATTAAATTGGTTTTAAAATATATAAAATCTTTAAATAGACTTAGTAGTTTTTTTTTTTAATTTCAAACACTTAATATTTGTCATTTTTACAAAATAGCATTATTTCTAAAGTAAAGTATTTTCATTTATTCAAAATTAAATTTCATTCGTCATATCTGGCTCTTCGATTAAAAAAAACGCCATCTAGTGAAAATTTTGGTAAAAGGTTTTACAGTCAGATTTTTATCGTAGGTAGAAGGTGCAGATTCAGTAATGGTACAAGAACTACAAGTGGGAGGTCATTTATACCTACAGGTTATAAAAGAGAGGTTACAAATGCTATTATACGTCATCAAAGCTAATATACTGAAAAAAGTTAAAACATCTAAGAAATTCGTCTGGTCAACGGTAAGTGTAAATTTAGTTTTGATGTATTCATTGATATACTGCACTATTCACTGCTCTGATTAACTGTTCCTCGTGTGTAACAAGCCTTAAGTTCTATGTTTTAATTTACTCTGTAATCAATATCACTAAATCAGTGAAAATGCTTCATTTAGCCGTTAAAAAGTGGTCAGTGTTAGGCTATTTCTTAACCACTGTAGTTATTCAATACCTTAGTATCTGTGAAGGTTACTTTTAAATAATCTTATTTCTTCTCATTAATATTATAAATCGGCGAGCGTGCGCGGGCGTCGAGCGGGAGCGTCGGTAGCTCAGTGGTTTAAGCACTTGACTTGTAATCTACAGGTCTTGGGTTCGAATCCCGCCGTACCAATGTGATTTTCGATTTTTCGAATTTTCATATGTACATAATTTACCCGATGTTCTTACGGTGAAGGAAAACATCGTGATGCCGGCACATATCGGCGAAGAAATTCAAAGATATGTGTGAAGTCAACCAACCCGGGCCAGCGTGGTTGACTATGCCTAATCACCCTAATTTAGGGTAGGCTCCGAGCCCCTCGGTGGGGACGTATAGTGAGCTGGTGATGAATATTATAAATGTGAAAATTTGAATGTAGGAATTGATTTTTGTTAGAGTTTGTAGCCTAAACTGCTGAACGGATCTCGATGAAATTTGCAATAGATGTAGAGGATAGTCTGGAAGAACACATAGATTACTCACTTTTTTTTTAATTCCACGCGGACGGAATCGCGGGCGAAAGCTAGTTTACACTATAATGTCGCTTCGCCGTTAAAAATGTCAGTCGTTAGCTAAAATGTTAACCACTGAGGTGTCAATACTTCCGAGTATCGTAAATGTTATCCAGTTAAGGTTTCTTTTAAGTAATCTTACTTACTAATATTATAGATGCGAAAGTTTGGATGGATGTTTGTTTGAGTTTGTGTTTGTAGTCAAAACTGCTGAACGGATGTCCATGAAATTTGTCAAAAATGTAGATTATAATCTGAAAGAACACAAGCTACTTCATACTAATATTATAAATGCGAAAGTTTACATGGATGGATGTTTGTTAGAGTTTGTAGCCTAAACGGCTCAACGGATTTCTCTGATATTTGGTATAAATGTAGAGAATATTCTGGAAAAACTCAGGGTACTTACTTTTGTTTTTTTTTTAATTTCACGCGGACGGAGTCGCGGGCGAAAGCGAGTATTATAAGTAAATGCTAAAGTTTAGATGGATGGATGTTTATTACAGTTTGTAGCCTAAACGGCTGAACGGATTTCGATGAAATTTTGTATAGATGTAGAGGATAGTTCGGAAGAACACATAGACTGCTCACTTTTGTTTTTTTTAATTCCACGCGAACGGAATCGCGGGCGAAAGCTAGTTATAAATTCATAGACAGAGTCACTGCCGAAAGCTAGTATACAAGTTTAACTAACATTCTGTGTATAGAACGAAATCCAGAACATAGTAAAAATGGCGGGCACGTTAGAACAACGTATGGAAACGTTCCTAGCGACGGGCAACGCGCCTTCGAACAACGTCAATCTCGCGCAGTACAAGGGCCTCACTATTGTTGCTGAAAACATCAACAGGATGAGATATATGTCTCACTTCAAGTAAGGAAATGTTACATTTATAGAGCCTACTATTTAGAGTAGAAATAAATATTTGGAGTAGAATTCACTATTAAAAGGATATTTCAATGTTCAAAATTCACTATTTAGAGAAGAGTTCGCTATTTAGAGTAGAGGTCAATATTTGTAGTAGAATTCAATATTTATAATAGAGTTAAATATTTAGAGTTGAGTTCAATATTTACTGTAGAATTCACTATTTAGATCAGTTTCCATTATTTAGGGCAGTTTCCACTTTTTAGAATAGTTTCCACTATTAAGAGCAGAGTTCACTATTTAGAGTAGTTTCCAATATTATGAGTAGTTTTCACTATTTTGAGTAGTTCCCACTATTTATAGTAGTTTCTACTATTTTGTGAAGTGTTCACTATTTAGGACAGTTTCCACTTTTTAGAGTAGCTTCCACTATTAAGAGAAGAGTTCACTATTTAGAGGAGTTTCTAATATTATGAGTAGTTTCCACTACTTCGAGTAGTTTCCACTATTTTGTGAAGTGTTCACTATTTAAGACAGTTTCCACTTGTTAGAGTAGCTTCCACTATTAAGA